GTGCACGACGGTGTGGCTTCTGATTAAATGAAAATGATTTAACACAGTTTATACTTTTAGCAGAAATAATAAATATGATTTTTTTTTTTTTGGTGTATGCCATTTTTGTCTTTTGGCCATATATTCACTTTTAGTATGGTTTCAACGCAATCTTTTATAAATCTGACCCCTGGCCTTTAGGTAGGTAACTCAATATGGACCGTACTGAATCTTTTGGAATCAAAGTGTTTAATATAGTCCTGGAACTCACTAACAAACAGCAGAACAGATAGTGTTTAAGTGTGCCTGACTTTATCTCTTACTCCTAATACCAGCTAGTGTCTCGGGGCTGTATGTTGCACCACTAGCAGTACATACACATGCAGGCTCAGCAGCATGACAGGAGTGCTTACTGCAGCCCTTTTTGTGTTCACTTACCCAGTCAACAGTGATTTGAAGTCAATACACTTTCACTTTCTCACTTCTCTGAACCAGACTTTTACATGCTTTTTCACTTTGTCTCGGCCTCTCGATCAGTGAAGGCTGGTTTATACTTTGAGGCGCATGTTTTGTTCCCCCTGCTGAGTGACAAAAAATTGTGCAGCTTCTGTCTGCTCTCCCGCTGCTATCCCCCAGTGTTAGCCGTCATGTACATTGCCCCTCTGTGATGCGGACTTTGCAGCTATATGATTGGTCCTATTGAACTTCTTCACCCAACATGACACYGATCATTGAGTGTTAAAACACCCCACAATATCCAGCCATCATTATTGCTGTTTATGTACTTCTATGAGTTGTGGGAGGGCAGAGGAAGGAACTATGATCATTTTTGGGCCGCTGTGTCTTCAGCCCGTTTATACCCCACCTCAAAAAAGACGTCCAAAATGACGCAGTCTCCAACCCGCTGTCTCACATCATATTAAAGTAAAATTCAAGCTTAAATGGAAGGTTCAACTCTTCCTTTATTGCTGTCAGCAATAAACTCTGGCCTTCGATTGAACTCTTGCATGGAACTAATTAATTAAAAAATGTTCAACCTTTGAGCTGTTAAATAGAAAATAAATCGAGCTACCTGACAAGTTTTGATTTCTTTCATTTCAAATGTTTTATTCTCAACTCTGTCTCTCTGAAACAAGAGTTTCGGAGAGAGATGCATATTTTTTGTCTTTCTGCTCACAGTCACTCCCTCCTGTCTGTCTGACATGACTCTTCCTTTGCTTACCTTTCCTCTGCTCTTAAACTCCAACCTGACCTTTCCTTCCTGTGTCAGACTTGGCAAACAAACGCATCAAGGGTGTGTTGATCTGTTGCRTCAAAAAGCTCTCTATTCCTAATATTGCTTCTTCTGGCTTCCTGTTGCTTGACTCGGTTTTCCACTGCACACGTCATGTAGGACACAGGCAGATTCAAAAATCAAAAAGCACGAGGCCTTTAATGAAAAACTCAGGGAGGCTGCAAATACAGCAAAACTCACTTTGACTTGGTGGTAGACGAAGAACATGGGACAGGACACGACCAGGTAGGCAGAACAATGATCCAACAATGAGACAGAGACAAGACTGAGCTAGCCTGGTCCTAATCAGGTGTACCTAATTAAGTGGCCGGTGAGTGTATGTATTACATATATTTTGTTGCTGTGTTTTGGTTTTCTTCGTTTTTGCAGGTGCAAACAGATGTCGGGTGTGTTGTCTTATGTTTTCTTGGTGTATATTTCACATATCTTTTAATCTCTCCATATTTTCCATCATATTTCTCCTTTTTCCTCTCTCTCTTTTTCTTCTTTTTTATAGTATTTAAAGAAAAAAAGGTCACTGATGATGAAGAAACTAATATTCAGTTCTGTTTTCTACTTTAAGTGGCTTAAAAAGAGAGCAATGGCTCTTAGGGAAAGTTAAGTTTATTTTGTGGTCTTTGAAGAATCTGCATGTAGATGCAAATMTGTATCTTGTATATGGGAACATTTTCTTGTGCATCCACATCTTGAAGTGATCATCCTTTGCTTTCATTAGTCAGCTGTTAAAACGCTCTCAGTCTAGAGAAGCATATTGAGTTTGTGATGAAAAAACCAAGCTAGCAAAAGTTTTGTCATGAAAAACTACTTAAACAGCAACATGTTTTTTTTTTTTTTTTGGCAATCTTAGCTAAAGCTATACTTTTGATTGCATCAAATGGTTGCACAGACATTTAGGACACCAGTAATCTTTGATGCAAATAATTCTATTCTGTAAGACCATATCCTGAGAATCATTTCATTTGAAGTACTGACTACTTTTAGGTACTTTCTAGAATGTAAACAAAAATAATTGTAAACAAAAAAAATTGTGTGGCTTTCCCCAACACTGAATCCATTTATTCAGTTCACCCAGCTTTCTGACTTTGATGGTATGTGTGTGTGTATTTCTTGTTCAGTCCACCTGTTAACAGTAGATGCCCTGCAGCCCCAACAGCCTTGTTTGATGCTCAACATGCTTATAAAGCTGTTCCCTTCCCATACAATCTGTTGTCCCCTAAATGTTTTGACAGCTGGCTCTGATAAGTGTGCTATTTTAAAGCTGTGGGTGGGTATTCGTCTGTGTGTGTGTTTGTGTGTGTGTGTCTCACTGCTGTCATGGATACATGAGTGGTATGCTCGTCCGTCTGCTTTGGAGGTGTCAACTTGATAGTCAGTGTTTGACACCGGCCAAGTGGCTTCTGTCAGATTGCAGCATTTGATGTGATTTACACAGACCCAAGACATTTCTCTCACTTTTAAGAACCAGTCTTCTAAATGCTTTTTTATCTTCAATGAAAATGTATTTTATACTTGTGTGCGTGGAAAGTAATTTATTCCTTTTTTGTTTGTTTGTTTGTTTGTTTGTTTATTTCTAGGACTTGCAATTTATATACTGTCACCTCTATCACATGGAAGTCCTCACTCACCTCAGGGAACATCAGTTAAGGTGAGTCTTTGTAATTTCTCCAAGCTAATATCCTTCAATATTCATTGCAAACCATTGTTTTTAATCTAAGGTATTTTTCAAACGATCAGTTTGTCATTTGCAGAGTTTCCCAAGCAGTTTTTCCCATTACCTTGTTATTCATATACCCTACACACGATAATGCAGTGCCTCAGCAATGGCTGAAAACAACTACGATCACTCTTACAGGAACCTGTTTGAACTGTGTTCAGTTTTTAAATGAAACAAAGAAAAATATGTCCAAAGAGAAGAACAAAACTGGCCCTTGAACTGGCCTTAACACGAACAATACACTCACAAACAACAGAAGCAATTAGAGACTGAATGTGGTTTGCATGCTAGCTAATGGTAAAGCTAGATATATGCTCCAACTACAACATTTTTGTCAACAGCTAGAAATACTTTATACTTAACCTAAACATCAGTGACATGAGAACCCCAAAATACAGTCATGTCTTTATGGAACAGATCAACATTTCTTGCTGTTTTCACTCTACTCTGAGTTCATGAGGCTTATCAGGCTTTTGCATGGATCTGTAACACACCACCCTGATGCTAACTCTCCCTGATGAGTCTTTGTTGGACACTGGTAAATAAAAAAGGGTAAGAAAGTGTCATGGACTATTATTTCTACCACAGAAAGAAATCTGAAACTACAACTTTGTGGTTAAAACAGATGATACATAATTGCAGAAAGCGAGACTCCATTAGTCGTAAAGTAGAAAGAAAATATAGGTTGTAAAGTAGATATGAGCTAAAGCTAGTTAGCCAAACAGTGACTGGGTGTATTTAATGCTTAAATTCATAGTTGTCAGTGTAACTTGGCATGTAAAATTTGAAGCCCTTTTCTTTTTTACAACGKGGAGCTGATGATCAGGCTCAAATCAAGCGGAGAACATCGCTGTAACTTTCAGGCGGTCCTGAAGGCAGCGGGTGTAAAATAACACCATTGCTCTCCGTGGTGAACAACCAAACAGGAAGTACTGGTCCTCCCAACTTCCAGTTAGCGGAAGTCAATTAGCCATATCGTGCAACAAGCCAATTAATAGACATTCTGCTGTGGTATCAGAAATTTACAGATTTTTAACCAGTTTCAACATTGTAGTACCTTCAAGTCTAATCAGAATTTGATGACCATTTGACCGTACATCAAAAACTGGTTACAAATCAGACTTTACACAAAGACCTGTACATGTTTGGCTTTATTCAAAACAAAGGGCAGTGATTTATCTTACTATGCCAAGCTGACAGGCAGTAAATGTGTTCTCTTAGCTTGATGTCTCCTGGGGAGAATTGGATGAATCTGTGATGGGTTTGTAAGAGCAAAAATTTTCTGATTCTTTTGAGACAAAAAAAATTCCCTAACAGCTTTCTCTCTCTGTCTCAGGTCGATGTGCACCTCAGCTCGGTATGAGAGACTTGAGGCCTTTCACATCCTATTTTAGTAAGTAGACACTCCTACATTCCTGCTGTAATCTGCTGTATTTTCTGTCCTTTTTTTATTCCTTTATCTTTCATCCTGCATCACAACTTCCTCTGCATTAACCTTAGTTAACGTATGTTCTGAACTTTGTCACACATACCATTTTCCAGAACATTCTGACGCATGGTATAGTAATATTTCCAGCAAAGTCTTACTTTAATTTATTAATTTGGATAGTTAAACAGAACTTTTRATTTCAATACACGTTTGGATGAAAACAACTCGTAGCTAATATCCTGCTTGCCTTCACATCTGACATTCTGTTGTGGGATGTAATTAAATTCAAAGATAAATGACTCTAATAGTCATTTACAAAGGAGGCGAGCACAATTAGAGGAAAAACTATGTCTGGGTGAGGAATGAGGGATAAATGACAGGCTAAACAAGGGCATTCACTGCATTGAAAGGAAAGAGTTTGCAAAGATATAAGAAGAGATAATAGATTAAAGGTTACCGGGAGGTTTTTATTCAAATGTGAGAACTGCGAGCAGAGGAGAGAAAACATGATGTGTATGTATGTACTAAAAGAGGAGGAGGAGGAGGAGTAAAGAATAGCAACATCAAGAAGGGAAGCAATATGAGGAATGAGCTTAGAAGGTGGTGGAAGAAAGATGAGGGCAGCTGAGAAGTGGAGGAAATGTCATCGATGAAGGGAGGACAGAGATAAATGAAAGGACAAGACAGAAGCTGCACATGTTGATGTGTTATCATGCTCATTAGAATCATATTAGACACTAAATATTTTAATTTATCATCAAGTTAATGCTCACACACTCTTCATCTCTAACATATTCTTTTTTTTAAGTACCTTAACTCAGACTAAAGAATCTGCTATGTTCAATTAGACTTTAGTTATGCTTAGAAATGTTAAACAGACAGCAGATGAAGGGAATCGAAGTCAAAGTTTACTTAAATCTAACAACACTTTCATAGTTATGTCTAGATCTCTGCTTTCTTAGAATATTTGTTGATGATATAATAAATTATTAAAAATGTCAAGCAAAATAACTGCTGAAATAGTAACAATAACACAGATCTAGATTGTATTGGTAATTGAACTATTTTTTATTGTGTACTTAGCTTTACATGCTACAAGTAGCATGTAAAGCTAACTCTGTAATCAAACAGCCAGCTGAATGTAACGTCACATCTTTTCTGCGCATGCGGGTCACACCAGTGCCATGGAGAGTTCACATTGGAGTCTGATGGAGGTCACATTAAAATTTAATGTGAACGTTCACACCAAGAAATCTGATTTTATTTTTTTAAATCAGAATTGAACATTCAGACCTGCATTGTGTGAATGTAATCTTTAATGTTACCATTTGTGGATTGTTTCAAGTGTCAGCATACAGCATATACTCTTTTGTGACAGGTTTGTTATACGTATCATAGCCACTTATTCTTCAAAATCTTTTCAATTTTTTTCTAAGTTTTGCATTGAAATAATAAAATGAAGCCACCGTTTTATGTCACTACTTGGAAACTTTCTTCAAATAACAACTTCCCAAAATAAGACAGATTTATCGACTGGGCTCAAAGAAAGCGGYAGGTGTCAAAAATAGTAACGTTTCTCATAAGCCCAGTTAAATGTAGAGATATTTGCCTTTTTTCCCCTAATCCTTTTTGTGGAGTTTTATGAATTCAAGCTATAAAAGTGCAAAATAAAAGTTTTATTATAAAATTCTTGATTATGCTTGTTTAAAAAAGCAAGTGTTTAATAGAAGTTATAAGCTACAGGGTTTTACAAACAAAAAGTAAAACTGGCTTTTTAAAACCACCCAGAGTTGTTTACATTGTGTATTTTTGAAACATATCAGATTTCTAGTTGTTATGCAGCATGAATTTGAACAATTGTTTCTGTCTTTTTCAGTCCAGACAGCGTCGCTACCTGTTGGTACATTCTGCTCTCAGGATCTGTTTTACTCAATGGGCAATTGCTCCTGTCCAAATGCTGGTATGCACGCGCACACACACACACACACACACACACACACACACACACACAC